CTGCCCCAAACCATGAGGCTTCTGCCTGCACCCTATCTTCCCATCTGGAAGCTCTGGAGCTAGAGCAGGAAAGGGGAAGAGCAGTGTAGTTTGGGCACAGTGCCATGGTTTGTTGGCTCTCTGGCCCCTGGGCTGGCCATGGCACGTGGCCAGGCTTGGCCAAGCACGAGCAGCAGGGCTTGGGTCTGCTTCAAACTTAATTTTGTGGATTGTGTTCCTGCTCCTTCATTCAGAGCAGAGGGAACTACTCAAGGATCCAACATCCTGCTTCCTCTCCGAGCAGCCAAGATCTGCTGTGATTCTCCTGGGGCTTTATTTGGCACAGTTTCATCCCAGGTTATCCAGAATTACAATGGTTACATTCAGTGGAGCTGCTTTGATTTCCCTGGGTTGGGTTTTATGTGTTTGTGGCTCTTGTTTCTTGATTTGCTCTTAGTTTTAGAAGATGGAGGTGGTACCAAAGCTCTGTATGACTCAAGATAAATGAGAGATTAAAATGAAAGATCTAGTAAAGCTATTCCAGGGTAGTAATGCTGTAGAAAATTGTTCTTTCACTTAGATAAAGGTCTGCTCCAACCTGACAAGCCTGTTTAGTTGACAATTCACAGCCTGTTCTTTGTGATTTCTTTTTTTGTAGCTATTGTGTCCTGCCAAAGCAGCTTTTTTACACCCATTATTCCTTTGCCTGTGACACACTGGGAGTTAAATCAGTCATTATCAGCAAAATTCAAATGGACACTTACCCTGTGCTGCTCTTCCACTTTATCCCTGCAAATTAAACGGAGAACCCTAATTTGGCTTTGCCTCACATCAGTCATCAGAAGGTGGAGCTGGGGCTTTATTTCATCTAACAGCCATCAAATATCTGAAAATGGGCAGAAAAAAACCTGTAATAAAGAAGAGTTTGGTCTAAGGCTACAATGAAGACTGAAATCACAGCACCTGACCTCTTGTGCTTGGGCTGGGGATGAGTCAGCTGCGTTTTCAGAGCTGTTGGAGACCTTTGTTCTGGGTAATGGAGGTGGTGGTGGTTCTTTCTCTCTCTAAGTTGTGTTTATTGTCTCTCACTGTGTTTGTTTTCCAGCCTGTTCAGGCCATGCAGCCATCTTCTCAGTCTGTCCAATATCCAGCAGTCTCTTATCCTCCCCAGCACCTCCTGCCAGTCTCTCCAACGCAGCAGTTTTCCGTGGTACTCAATATTTCTTTCATTGCCTTGAAGCCTGAAGTTTGGGGAGGGGGGGGTGAGCATGAACGTGCCCAAGAGCCTTTGGGAATGTCCCTCAGGAGAACCCCCCAAGAAAATCCCCATTGGCTTGAACATTTCTGGTACCAAAAAGCATCTTGTCAAGCACGTTCCCCCTGATCCTGATGTTTCTAACCTAGAGGGTGATGGTAGGAGCAGGGCTTTCTGCCTGAAAATCAGCCTCCAGAAGAAGTGTTTTGTGCTGCCTGTGATAGTAGAAACTTGTATCTCCCCACTTTGATGTGGAGGGAGCTTAAACTGCTAACTTTTGAGATTTTATATCCACCAAGAATGGAGAGCAGACCTCTAGGAATCATTCCGTTTTATTTTATATTATTTTATCAGTGCACTAAACCCTCTGCCTGGACTTTCTAATCCCTGATGCCACCAGAGCACGTGGGAAGGAGTCAGCCAGCTGCAGGTGGTGTGGTACATGATGCATCATGACAAAGCACCAATAGATTTGTATAATAAAAACAAGCAGAATCCTCTTTTTGAGCCTGAACCTGGCTTGGTGCTTGCAGGGCTGAGATTATACTGTTTGTAAAATGAACTTGACATTTTAAGAGGCACTACAAGATATTTTTTTTCCCTGTTATTTTTCTCTCTTGCTCTGGTAATGTTGCTCATGACTGATTTTTTTTTCCCAAGGTAGAGATGTCACGTAGTTATAATAAGAGATGGAAACAAAGCTGAAGGGATCCTTGCAGCTAAAATGATGTTATTAATGCCTGGTAGATGAGTGGTACCATTTAAAGGACAATAAAAACATTCAGTGCTGAACAGAAGGTGCATAACTCGGTGCTAATTCTCTTGGAAAGTGTCTTGCAGGCATCTCAGGTTGTTCTAGTGATAGTCAGAGGAAGGCTGATATTTTTAGTGGCTAATTAACCAGCAAAACTTCACTTGGATTAATGCATTCAATGTATATTATACACACAATGTATAAATTACAGGGTTTTGAAGCTCTTGGTCTCTGTTGTGCAAATCCAGAGACCTTCCAGGCTCAGAGAAGTTTCTTTGTAGAATCTGTTGGAGAAGGATTCACCACAGGGATGCAAATAAAAATCCAAGAGGCTGCTTTTCAATCACCAGCATGGTGGAGTTCTGTGCTGGATTTCATGCCATGTAGGGCATGATTTATTTCATGTTTTTCATGAAATTTCATGTCTCAACGTTGAGCATTTAAAAGCCTTATGATACAGGCACAAATTAAGATGCATAGAACCCCCTTTGGAAATCTTCAACCTTCACAGAATCAGCTTGAGAGGGTTGATTAGGATGGATCTTTTTGCAAGACTGAACAGATACTGTCTGGAATCCTTGTGTCATTACCACGTGTAATGAGACTGAGCTCCATTGACTTTATTTGGTACTTTCATCCTACCATAGATTTTCATTTTTTTTACCCTCTCCAGTCAAATAAAGGGCTCGTTTCCAATAAAACCCCTTGAAATAGCAACTGAAGGCTTAGCTTTTATTAGCTTCTCTATCTTTACAGCTTTGGATTTTCAAAACAGTCCAGAAGGGAGAAGGTCTGCACCTGAATCCTACTGAATTCCTCTTGGGATCAATTTGAAACACAGCTGAAATTCCCAGCGTGTGTTTGGCTGAGGAATTCTGTCTTCTCCTCCTGCCCTTGTATTTCCAATGCCTTCTTTTGTAAACTTCCCTTCTCATTTGGGAATAAAAAGGGGGAAACAGGGTAAAAGCCCAAACAGTTGGCCGTGGTGCCAAGCGATGCCACTCACCTTTCAGTCTGCAGGTCTTTTTAAAGCATTTAGGCTGATTTTTACATTAATTAAGCTCACGTTGACATGGTTTTGTGGTTCCTTCATCCCTGCAGCGGGATGACATGACAACACAGTTCAACCAGATGAGCTTAAGTCGCCAATCATCAGGAGACAACCCAGAGTCACCTTCTGGTCCCGTCTACCCATCGCCTCTCCTGCAGCAGCCAGCCCAGCAGACCAGCTACATTATGGCTTCCCCAAGTCAGCAGCTCCCCCCAGGAGGTTTTACAGGTTCAGGTCCACCAGTATCTCAACAAGTGCTGCAGCCACCACCACCCCAGGGCTTTGTGCAACAGCCACCACCACCTGCTCAGGTAGGTAGGACCTTCACTAGAGAGTCCTCACGGTGCTCGTTAGAATAGCAGAGAATATGATGTAAAAAATGATCCAGAATCTAGATTTTGGTTGGGTTTTTTGGTTTACTGGTGGTTTTTTGGGTGGTTTGGGTTTTGGCTTTTTAATTTTTTTTATCCCTGGTAAAAGCTCAGCAGATTTTCAGGCAGCAGGAACCTTGCAAAGCCTCTATCGTTTCCTGGCTTTCAGCAATTCCTTCCCTGTCCTCAAACCATTTTCTGAAGTCCATGCTCCAGGACACATCTGAATGTGAAGGAGGAGGGTGAGTAAATATCCATAGTCCTTTTTCCCTGTATATATACCAAAAGAGCAACACACACATCAGCCCAGGTAGTCATTAATCATATTTAATTGACTTGAACATGCGAGATGTCACAGATCAGTAATTTTAACTGTCTTCCTGAAGACTGATTATGTTTGACTGTTCACTACCAAACATCTCTCCTTGTCTCCTGGGTACCTTTACAGAATATTGAAAGTGATTACTGTCAAGAAGTAAAATGCAGAGATGACTTTCTGGCTCTTTTTCAAATACACTTTAAAAAGCTAAATTCCTTTATCCGATCATAGATAACTTCATTCAAAGTACTTTTAAATGGTATTAATAGTATTTCTGCTGTTTTCATTTGATCCTTTAGAAGAGAATGTATAAAAAATAAAGTAAAAAAACACCAACCTTGCATTATTTCTTTTCCTGTAGAAGCAGCATAAACCCTCCTGGGTTTTGAGTTTGCCACTTCTTACTGAAAAATCTCCAGTTGTGTTTAATGGGATTCTGTACTGCCACAGTAATGAAGAATTTATACTGTTGCAGTGTTTTAAGTGGGGTAGGGATCTGGTTAATTAGATCACTGGTTAACAATAAAAGAAGCCTGAAGACTGCTGGATGCTCACATTCCATTCAGGACTGTGACATCCATGGTTTCTGTGGTCAGAAGCTATGCAGCCATTTTTTTCTGAGAAGGCTCATGACAAATAATTTTCAAGGAGCTGAAGTTCAAGATAATGTGGTAATATATTTTTTTTAATTTAAAAATGGCCACAAAAGGATCTCGCTGTTTGCCCAGTGTAGCCAATTTTTAGAAAATTTGGGAGGTAAATACAAGCTGAAGAGCAGAATCTCCTGATGAATCCTTGTGGCTAAGAAGGAAATAGTAGTTCCTCTGCCCTAACAGCTCAGCTCCCTGTGCAGGGCACCTAGATCCTGACTCCCTGTCCTGCCCGTGGCAAAATTTTGGTGTGGCTATTAGCAGTCTGCATTTGCTGTTCATTTTCTGGGCTGAGATGAAGTGGTAAAGCTGCTCTCAGAGAGCAAAGCAGGTGGTGTGAGGCCAACTTCAGAAAAAAGAGTATAATAAAGATGGTAATGCATGCAAAACATGATGTGATACATTAGTCAGTGCAATGCAATCATTCTAAAAGCACTTTTATATCTTAAATGTTGCCATTAAATTTACACCAGTGAAAAAGAGGCTTGACTCTAATGGCCAATGAATTTCTGTAAATGCATTGCTGCTCAAGGTCTATTAGGTTGGCTCTGGTGCCCTCCATGCTGTTGGAAAACAGCAGTGAAAACTTGCCTGGAGGTCCTGTGAGTATTATCCTTTCCTTTGGGAGCTGAAAGGAGGAGAAAGAAATGCTCTCCAAGCCTCCAGCCCCATGGTGCTGCACTTAAATTATCAGCTTTTGTATTAAAGTTCAATTAAACATGGCCCTACAGAATCCAAAATTCTCTTTCCCAGTCTTTATTTTCTCCTCTTTTCTTTCTGGAAGGTACAGTGGCAAACTCATGTCCAAGAAATGAGATGGCACAAATTCTTGGAGAGGCTTGGAGCAGGGATACATCTGTTAAGGGGTTTTTCACCTGAATTAATTTAGTGTCATCCTTAATTTTAGCTCTTTGCATGAAGCACCCTCCTAGAGAATCCATAGCTACCATAAAACCAAATCTTTATTCATAGCATGTCTCCTCTAGGAAACTTGTTCTGAAGGAGGCTAGGTCTTTCCTTGGTGAGATCAGAGAATGATTTTGGAGGGTATCTACAGTTGCACACAAGCTGGTTTTGTGTTATTGTAATTCCTGGTGAGGGGGGGAAGAAAAACCCTTGAAGAATGACCCTACTTGGGTAGATATTGGGAAGAAAACTGATACCTCCATGTGTCCCTACTTTGCTGTGGTTTCTGTTGTCTTCACTTCCATTTATGCAACTGTAGCTTCCATTAGGAAGTGTCAACATCACCACTCACCTGGATGAAGGTGTCAATCCAACCAAACTGGATACCACCAATGGCAGGAGAATGTAGGATACCTGTGGCAGAATCAGGTTGTAAAGCAGTAGGGAAGTGGTTTAAGAAGGCAAGATCAGCCTGAAAGATGTGTGGAATCCTCTCCCTACCAGGAGGAAATAATCACCATAGCTGTGAGTTGAAGGAACCTTGCTCATGAGCAGTCCTGGACGTGGGCTTTGAACTCTAGGTGGACAGGACAACGCTGCATTGAGTCCCTGCCCATCATCTGAAGACAAAGAGGGAAAAATAGTGTCTATTGGTGCCTTTTCCTGAGCATCTCTGCTGCCATGTGGCCAATTCTGCTACAGTTTAAGAAAGAAAATGCAATCTGTGAGAGGACAAAAATGCATTGGAGAGGTCAACCTAGAAACAAGGGAAGTATTCACCTTCAAATTAAGAATATCCAGGGGAGGAAGGATGATCTGTCAACTGTTGGCATGGTAATTGTTAAAGAGGGAGGATTTTTCAAAGTGTCAAGGGTTAAGATGAAGAAAACAGACAAAAGAATCATAGAATAGAATCATTATTGTAAAATTAAATAATTTACTAAATTTAATACCATGATTTATTATAATCATGATTAGAAAAATATTAAAATATTTAGATTATGATCCTAGAAGGGCCTTTATTTTCCTTGTATTTATTTTGTCTTCTCCATTAATTTATTATTATTTCTTTTATATATAGCTGGATTGGGTTTATTGTCAGGATAACCATATTAACCAGGCTTGTTAGCACAGTGGAAACTTCTTGGTTCTGTAAATGAACCACATCCCCCAGGCAAATGGTCCAAGGTTAGATGGTGCCTTCTGGTGGGGAAGCAGAGCCAGTGGTTTTTTGGCAGGGCAGAAGGCTGCTGCAGAAATGGGATGGGTTTTGTTGAAGAGCACACAAAGGTGTTGGTAACACTGATGGAATGAGAAAGTAAAAGATTGAAGAGGGTCAGAGCACAGAGTGTAAGTGATACTGGTTATCTCTGAGCCCTCTAATTCCACTGTTCACTAAGGGAACATCAGAAAGGACAAATAATATCAGAAAGGACAAATAACATGTTTCAGCTGCTGACACAGACTGAAGACAAATGAAAATGGATCCTTCCAAACCCCTTAACCAGCTATTTTCTCCATGTCTCTATTTCCCACCAGGCCCTTCTTTTAGTGACTGATCTTTTAAAATTTAAAAAAAAGAACAAAAAAAAAACCTAAAAACCCAAGCAAATTCTTTGCAAATCATGATTGGCAAATACATCCCTTAATCTAACTAGAAATGATATATTTGGGGGTTTTTTTTACCCAATACTCCTACTACTAACCCTGCACTCAGATAAGCTTCTAAAAGGAGTATATAACAAATCTATTCCAGTGAATTCAGAAAAGGAGAAACCCCTTTGACTATCTTTGAGGTGTTAGCTGTGTGGTAGAAATAAATCTGTGTTTCCAAATTACTCCGAAAGCTTCAGTCTACACACCCAGTTTTGTGCTAAGCCTGTTCAACTACAAACCTCACTGCCCAACCTATATTCTTTGGGCTGTGCTTTAAAGTTAATACCTAGAGAATCTTCCCACAAGAGATAATCCTCATTGTTCTCATAGGCTCAGGTATTTTCAAGTATCTAGGGGCTTGTCTGCAAGAGGAGAATGAGGAAGTTGAGGGTAAATCAAATAAATTTAAATCCTTTAAGTGAGATTAAGCTGCTGCCAGAGGAGTGAGACTATTTCCACAGGGGTTTAATATTCTTTAAATTGTATAATATGTTATTAGAGAATAAAGAATATTTGAGGGGATGTCTCCTCTGTTCTCCTGCTCCAAGGCAGGCTCAACTATTTGCATTGAGTTGACTTAGACAGAGTCTTCTCTCTTCTTTCAAGTCTCCTGTTGTAAAGTCTGGCTGAGAAATACAAATGTTTTCATTGATTGAAGAGAAAATGAATAGATTTTGGAGGATGGAGGGATATCCAGCCTCTTGGTGGGCTGGTGATAGTGACTGTCAGTTGATCAGGGGGTTTCACTTCAGCACCACCATGTCCAGCTTTGATCTTGATGCTTTCCCCACCACAGTTACCCATTCAGTAGTCTTCTGCTTGCCCTAGTAGCCATCCATACCCTCTTCTTGATTAGTCCTTTTTATCTGTGTCTGTCCATTCTCTTCTGATATTTTCTTCAGGAATATCCTGATCTCTCTTAGGATGTTCTAGCAGCCTACAAAAGGCTGCAGTTACCTTTACTCTACTAACACATTTTTTGGGTGATGGAATTGAACGAGCTGTTCCAGGAACACTTCCTCCATGCAAATAAAAGTGGCCAGAACAGTTATTTTGGGATGAAAGAACCCAAAAATCATTGGGTAACAACTGTGCCTGTGTCTCAGGAGGATAAATGCTACTGCAGTTGATACCATGTGCTACCAGGTCCCACTGCAGCTGGAAATGAAAAATGTGGAGTGCTTTGAACTTGCCAAGGGTCAGTTGAAAACTGTTCAGCTCCAATGCCTCAGTAACGACGTGTAGCATGGATTGGACAAAAAAATCTTCAGCTCCAGTCACCCTCAGACTTCCCTGTTCACCCTTGGGATCAGGTGATGTAGTACATGTTGCTCAATAAAAACAGAAAAAAAAGAAGTCCACCTGGCAGAAGGTGCTGACTCAATGCCTCAAGCCCTGCAAGAAAACATGCAGGAAACATCCATTTTTTCTACAGCATTTGATATTTCACTCTGATTCCTTTGGCACCTGCACGTAGCTTTTTATGTATCCTGGATGTTTTTCTCTCTTCCCATTAAAATTCTTTTCCTTCTGTTTTCTTAAAGCATCTGAGCAGAATTCTGGGCTCTGATGGCCCTTTTTGGAGCAAAGCTGAAAGCCAGCAGTTGTTCTTGGAGGGACACAATGCAAACCTCTCCCCTTGATTGCTGTTACCACTAATATGCTTGACTTGAATCCTTTCTCCCCTTCCAGTTTCATGAACCTTTGGGCTTTAGAATCCTTCCTCAGCTGCTGTTCTCTTTCTTTGCAGATGCCAGTGTATTATTACCCATCTGGTCAGTACCCTACCTCAACAACTCAGCAGTACAGACCCATTGCCTCAGTTCAGTACAATGCACAGCGGAGTCAACAGATCCCCCAGACTGCACAGCAAGCAGGTATTTACAGCTCTTCCTCCTTCCTCCAGCTGCTGGCAGCACCTTTGCTGGTGAAGCCCTTTGGTTGTGGTCTGGTTTTGGGGTTGGAACAGCAGAGGAGAAAGCTGGGTGCTGTTTCTGTCTAAAAATCCAGTGAAAACTAGCTTGAGAACCTCTTTGCTTGGAGGGGTGGAAGAGCAGAGGTGCTGTTCTCCACCACTGCTGCCCTCCGTGTCCCCAGCATCCATGCTCCACGTGATGGGGCACAGAGAGAGCTGGGAGGGAACTGTGTGAGCAGTCCTGGTGCATGTTCAAACCACCCTTTGAGTCTTGTCCCCCATTCTCCAAACTCCCCAAAGGTTTGCATGACGCTACGGGGTGGCCACGTTTGCAGGGAATTGGGAAGAGGGGGGTTGTGCTCCATGACCTTGTGCTCCATGACCTTGTGCTCCATGACCTTCTGCTCCATCTGAGCCCGAGGAGGGCTGGGAGGAGGTCCCTGCAGCAAGGTGCAGCTGGAAGGGGGGCCGTTACACTGTAAGAGAGTGAGTAGCAGGTCTCACAGTGAACCGGTCTCTTTTCCTGCTGTCTCACCCCACTCCTGATGCCACCAGAGCAAGAGTTGGGCTGGGGAGAGCAGGGGTTGTGCTTAGGAAGGGGTCCTGTCGTTTCAGGGGAATAAACAGTTTGGGTTTGGAGGTTTATCTGTAAATATAAGTTTGTGGAGTGTTGCACAAAGGTCATCTGTCTCTTCTAGCTTCTCCTGCCTGGCAGTCAAGTACCATATTTATTATCTCTACACAGCAAGTCTTTGAAGCTAAGTGCAAATCAACTTAGATGACATTATCTGGATCTACTTTGTTGTTGTAAACCCATATTTATCAGTTTAATGCCACATCCGTGGCATAGTGGAGATTACAGTAAATGAAGCACACAAGAGATGGGCTGAAGCACTTGAGTGATGTTCTGGAGAAGATCTGATCTCAAGGAGATCCTGGTTGTAAAGATCTCTTGTAGCACAAGAGAAGATCTGTGTGGTCTCAAGGAGATCCTGGTTGTAAAGATCTCTTGTAGCACAGGAACTGTTCTGAGTACAGCAATGCAGAGATAGAAATGTTAATTTTATTTCTCTGTTTACTGCATCACTTCCCTTACATGTTTTGGAGTTTGTGTGAAGCCTTTTCCTGCCATTCCCTCTTTCAGCTGCCTGCTCAGTTGGAAATGTTATTCTTATCTCTTGTTTAAAAATGAAAACATTGTGCCTACAGTTTAAACTCCCTGCTGTGGTGATGGTTTTTAGCTTTCAGCTCTTCTCACATCTTGGGACTTGACTGAACACATTTCTCAAGGTGGTTCATCCCTTTCCCATAGTTGTTGTCTGAGTGTGTCACAGACGTGCCATGAAGCAGCTTCTGGTTTCCTACAGGTCTTTTTTTGGGGAGATGATGTAAGGACCATTCACATTTGTGTTCCACTGCATCCCTTGGGATCTGGCAAATAACTGGCTTCTGTCACATCATTTATACTAAAATAAAAGCAGAAGTATAACAAGACTTATAATGGGTTGAAACTGGAAGAGGGTAGATGTAGATTAGGAGTTAGGAAGATGTTCTTCACTCTGAGGGTGGTGAGACCCTGGCACAGGTTGCCCAGGGAAGCTGTGGATGCTCCATCACTGGATGTGTCCAAGACCAGGTTTGGATGGGGCTTGGAGCAACCTGGTTTAGTAGGAGGTGTCTTATCTTTGCAGCTTTCATCTCTTTGCCAAATGTGAAAGAATTCAGATGATGAACTCAAGACGTTCCTCTGAAGGGTGGTTTGAGGAGAACTGGTGGAGTAGTCACACTCCTTTTTCCTTCAGAAATCAGTTAAAAAACAAACCCAAAACCCCATAAAACCACCAAGAAACCTTTTAAATCTTCCTGTGCACGACTGGGAAGGAGAATCAACAGGTGAGCATCTGAGGCTGCAGCTTCCCTTCCCATGGAGACTTAAATTTGGATCAGCACATGAGCCAGGGATAACTAGGGACAGGAAAATGAAGCCAGGAGGGAGAACAGCACAGGTCAGGAATGTTGAGGATGGGAAGGGAGGAGGCAGATGAAAAGATGAGATCTGAAGTGATTCCCCCAAAGATGTCAGGACACTTGCTGCTGCTTCAGAGGGAGGATGGCTGGAGCCCAAACTGTCTGCCCATACCTGCTCTATGGCTGGACACTTAGCCTGACAGCTCAGAAAATGGGTTATTAAAGAAAATTTATCAGTTTACCTGCTTGGAGGAGCTTCTGGAAGCTTTTAAAGCAGCAAGGAAGGAGTTTCCCCACTTTGGGCTACAGAGGTGAACGTTTTATCTAATGCCAGCCATTTATTTTCATTTTTCTTAGGAAAATCTCTTCAGGAGCAGAGTGCTGTCGGTGGCTTCTCCAGCAGAGAGCTGAAGTGAAATGTCAGCACAGCATCTGTGGTGGCTGAGGAGCCTGTGGGCTCAGGAGGGAGAGCAATATTGAGTTAAAATGGCTCCAGGGCAGCAAAGATGAGCTCACCTAAAATTACATTAGAGCTCTGGCAACCATAAATCACTTGGAGAGAAGAATGAGAACTTTTTTTGTGTGTTTATTTACCATTTAAATATCTTTTTTCCTTAAGTGCTGGCTCATATGAGGACATAAGTGACCTGTTTCTAGCAGAAATTTGGTACAAATAGAAGCTCTCCAGGAAGATTTTTATTAAAAACTCTGCCACCTGAATTACATTCATTTCTTTTTATGCCCAAATGTGATATCTGACATCATGGTAGCTTGGGTTGTAAACAGAAATACTTTTATTTCATTCAGATACACACCATTGTTGCTCCTCTTCATTATGCTGCTTCTCTGCCAGTCTTGTGCCCAGTTCTGTAAGCACACAGAAGGAAATAATTCTGTATTCTCCTCTAGAAGTGCCCTATAAATTGTGTCTAGCATCATCAGTATTTCATTCTTCTGTGAATTATATTGATGGTTTTGAAAGCTTTCAATCCTAGTTGTGTTTGAATAGAAAAAAAAAACAGAGATATGTTGATGGTAAAGCTGTAATGATTCATATTTCATCATATTTTATTTCATATCTGTGTCTCCACTTTCTTTCATTATAGCACTTTGAGGATTTTTGATCTTTTTAAAGTGCTTCCTGAACATGAACTGGTTAAGAACACGAGTATTACTTCAGGATATGCAACTGCTCTGATTGCTCTTCACAAATGAACAAGCAGCAACAAATTACATCCATTTTTTTCCCTTCTTGGGTTCATTCTGGATGTCTGCCTAGTGTTGCAGATCATATCAGAGCACAACAGACTTTTTTTGTGGATAAAATAATCTTTTAGGTTCATGTTTAGGCTTGGTTTTTAAAGGCAGCTAGCTTGGTTTATCACACAGTTGGATGGTAAAAATCCATGGGGGTGTGTTTTGCATCCTGATCATCTTTTGAGGAGATTAAATCTTAAGACCTATAGTACTAGGTTAAAAAAAATGCCTCCCAGCCAAAAGTTTACACTGTATTATTTCCAGAGAAAATTAAATGATATTGAGCATCGTTGGATGGTTTGGAATTGCTGCAATTAATGCAATGATTTAAGGATGTCTCATGGAGTTGAGAATCAATAAATGCTGCCATTATAACCTGCTTCAGTGCCCAGATAGCAAGAGAAGGCTGAGATTGCATAGGCAACCTCTGCTTTTTCCTAAAAGCAGTATAGTTAGTGGCTGGCAGTAGGCAAAAGAAGTCATTAAATGAAGAAAACTATTTATCTGAGCAGGGCCTGGGTGTAGAATCCTTTCTTAATTATACATAGATCTCCTATAAACAGCCAATGGTTGTCTGGAAGGGAAGGCAATATTTCTGATGGAGTATTGTGTTATTAGCCATCACAGTGAGGAAGAGGAGGTGATTGTCTCTTTAATGCATCTCTGAAACAAATTTTAAGCACAGATTTTAAGCAAAGGCAAAATGCACCTTAACCAAGTCCATAAATTTGTTTAGGTAGAAACCCGAGTCAAATTGACAAAGAAAATAGGGAATTTTTGGCTTAATTTAATCATTTAGGTGTCAGCATAATTGAAGAATGTTCTCTTGGAGTCTCTTTTCATCCTCTTTGTCTTTTGAAAGCATTTGTCACTATAAACTGATACTGAGAGGGCCAAAAAAAACCACCAGGGGGAAGGGAAATATGCAGCAATAAAAAGAAAAAAAAACCCAATTGATTTGTTATCATGGTCATTAGAAGAACCTTGTAAAGAAAGATTGCCACTTTCCACCTTCATTAGCAACCTGACAGGAGCCCCTGGTCCATGATGGATTTGTTTGCATAATTCCAGCTATAATTTCTGTGCTTACATAAACAACTTCAATTTTTAAGTATCTAATTATCTGAAGAAACTATTTCTCTGGCAGTAATTGCTTGCTGCACTATCAGAACAGATTGATACTGAAGGTGTCCATCTGGGTTTAATGCTAGATATTTTTTTTCTATATTTTCTATATTTTTCCTCTGTTTTGCTCCTGGAAAGCATTGCAAGGGGGATGGGTAGAGGTAGAGCATGGGCAAGGCAGAGCTCATGAGACTTTGGGCATCTGTGCCATGGAAGTGCCTGGAGCCAACCTCAGGGACTGCTCCTCAAGCTTCTTAGGTTTGTTTTTTTTTCCCCTAAATCACATCTGGAGGAGAAGGAGCTGTTGGTTTGGTTTTTTTTTTTCCCATTTAATTTCATGATCTGGTTCCAACTTGAAGTGTGGGAAACCCTGAAGGGGTTTTAACTCCTGTTGGGTGCTGCAGGGGGAGATGCTTACCAGGATTTCTGCTCTTCAGGGACATTCTCCATCTGTCCCACAGAGCTTTGCTTAAAAATGTGAAGGAACAGAGCATTAAATGCAGGAAAAAAAAGGGTATAAAGCAAGGAACTTGTTTAGCTCTGATTATATATTTCATGTTCTGCTTTTGCAAGTTTAAAGTCTTGCTTTTATATTATTTCCATGCATATTTT